CTCTAAACAAACTGGTTGCTTGGAAGGAAAACAGAGAAAATTAAGGCTGGAATAATATAAACCTAAATGTCCAAATATTTTCCTACATCAAATACACACTAGAAAGAAATACAGCTGCTGTTGTCGGTAGTAATAAAACCATGGCCTCTCAGTCCTCAGCGGACGTCTCTTTGCTCTTTATATGTCAGAGGAAGATGAAATCCTGATTTTAAATCTTCTCTGACCTTTTTTAAACCACTGTGTATTCACATGATCACCTGCGGTTCCCTCTCTAGCAGAGATCATATCTTTTACCGGTTCCAGGGTGACATAACGTGAGCTCACGTGTCCCCTCCATGGACGCTGTGCACCTTGTGATGCTCATTAATCCACCAGAGCAGGGTGGACTGATTGGGATTCATCGTTCTGCATGTACAGAAACAAGCAGTCCTGCAAAAGAGCTCTATGTTTGCACCAAGCTTGGCGCTTCTTAACCCCTGTATACCTATTTTAGACATTTCAGAGATCAGAAACATCTTTTAAAGTCAAACTTTAGTTTGCATTTCGATCATGTCCTTGTTAATGTTTTTTTTTTCCACTAAGAGTTCATTTTTTTATTACTGTTAACTCTCCAATAATTTATTCTTTGCAAAATTAGCATTTGATGCATTTTTTTCATATTGCAGCCACAAGTTATATTTAACCAAAGACCAAAACAAAGTCCTTCCGTGGTAAATTCTCCAAGCTTTTAAAAAATACTTTCAAATAAAAATGTGAAGAGTACTGCATGCTTTTATATAACAGTTTAAGTCTTCCCGGCTGTGCAACTCCTCCAGCTTTTCATTTTTGCAAAATAGCTGAGATGCAGTCAGCTGGATTTAGGGCTGGACTTTGACTAGGCCATTCTAACACATAAATCTTCTTTGAACTGAATCTGAATCCATCTTTGAACTGAATCTGAATCTCAACTCTTTGGTAGCCTTGAACATTTTCCCTCCATGTTCTGGTAAAGATTCTCAGTCATTCAAGTCATAGTCATTCCAAAGAAAGTTAAAAACCACTGAACTTTGTTTTCCAAGTTTAAAGATGTTTCGCTTCCTATCCAGAGGGCTGTCCTAATTCAAAATGTCTGGAGTAGCGTTGAGCTCCATGCTTTTGTAGAGTAGCCCATAAAAAGGCTTTTGTTGGGCTACTCTATAAAAGAAAACAATTATAGAAATAGTTCAACCAGATCATATAGTCAAAATGATTCAAAGTTTTCTATCTAAGAAAAACCAGTTGATTGCATCGACTCATTGACTCGAAGGCAATCACTCACACTAAGCATGCTTGTAGCGATGGTGGAGAGGAAAAACTCCCTTTTAACAGGAAGAAACCTCCAGCAGAACAAGGCTCAGTGTGATCTCATCTGCCAAGGCTGATTGGAGTTCAAGGAGACAGAAGCAGAGACACAAAAAGCAACTATAAAAGGCGCTCCCGTCTAGGAAATACACAGCCAGGGAGACGGGCTCTGAGCCAGTTCCACATAAGAGGATGAAGAGAGCACATCCAGCCAGTTACAGTCAGAGAAACAGGACTACACTGAAAAACAGTCTGAGTGTCACGGCCAAACAGGAACAGATGACGCTACTATGAGAAAAAGCAGAAAAAACATAACGTTAGAGATTGAAACTAAATAATCGAGGTAGCTTTCACTAACAGCGATTTAGGAACATCTGGCAACTGTTGCTGATTAGAATTAGTTTGAAAGTTGTAATTTCTGCAGGACTCTTTCACAGCTTTCTGAACTGATATGGCTGTACTAACCTGAAATCAGCTGCTTTTGTTGTTCGTTTGTTTATTTTCCCCAAAATTTTCTTGTAAAAACATGTTTCTGTTTCCTTCCATAAGCTGAACTCTGCAACCTTTCCATATCCCTGCTGAAACCTCAGCTCATCTGGAGAAATAGAGCTGATATTTTTAAACCACCTTGTCTTATTCCCATTTATTTTATGATCCACTGAACATCTTTGTGTGGGCTTCTCTGTAGCAAAGAGAAGAAATATATTGAAGTTTAGGGTGTTGCTCTAGGAAACGCTAATTTTCTAGACACTCTTTAGTAAATGAAATGTTTTTTTTCTTTAACTTCTTACAGCTAGCCAGGCTTGAACTAAATCCCTTTGTGTGTATACAAATGAAATGTCATCACCAAAGGGCACAAGCAAAAAAATCAGACAAGCTCTAACAGTGAGACCTGCAAAGATAAAAAAATAATAATTTTGATGCTATAAGAAAACAACCATGCCTGCAGTTACAACAACTAAATGTAGTTCAGGGTCAGTACTGCTGCGAAAGCTTGATGTTCCTCCAAAGTGTGTGTGTTTGTGTGGTTCGTTTCTGCGAGGCTGTTGCAACAGGAAACATCCAGGATTGTGGCCTTTTTTGCTTGCGCTGTTGCCAAGACAACAGCAATTAGAAAGGAGAGAGAGCGGTTATGTTTCCATGGCAGCGAAGGTCAGGGAGAAGGCTTTGAGTTGTACCTGGCTCTAAGGAATGAGATGGATACAGGAACAGATTTGTTTTCGGTGGCAGAGCGGTTTGTTTGCTGTCCTATGACCAGAGAACTTTGACCCCACAGGGTCCTGAGTGGCTCCGCAGATCGAAGAGGAAAACTTTGAATGTGAAGAACTAAGCGTCGTGTATTTTGTTCATAAGTGATGTTTGCAGAGCTAAAGATCACCTTCAGTGTGTGATAGACTAACACACAAAATGTGAAGTAGAAGCAAAAACAATTCTGAAAATAAATCTGAAAAGTGTGGCTTTCAATTTCTACCTGCCCCCCTCTCATAAAGCCATCCTAATCATTTGCAATACGTCTCTACATTACTGCCACCAATGTTATGCGAGTTCATAATGAAAAAGAACTCGCTATTTAGAAGGAAATGGAAAATACATGTTGCAGTCAAGATATACTGTATGTGCATTTTATTTGGCCAAATTACTCAGAATTTCAGGATCATACAGGAATGGTCAGGTTCTGCTGAAAAGATCTGGAACAAAAATGATTTCTTACATTCCTCATTTAGACACAGATATTTAACTAGATGTGTCTATTTAAAATTAAAGTAGAGATGGCTGACATACAAATTTGTTTAAGTCCCGGAGGTCAGTTTGCACAAAAACGTGGGGTTTTTCTGTCTGAGTCTTCATTTGTTAGATAAAAAACTCTGCAAAACTGGCATCAGAAATACCAGTAGATGAGTCTGAATCATGCAGATTAGTACTAGTAGACATGCTGGTCTGTCATACTGTTTGCAGTAATAAGTGCGTAAAATCTGACGTTATCAAATGAAATGTCATTATCAATTAAGCGTGAATGTGAGCCGTGTGTGTGTCGCTCATTATTCTGAGTGAATGCTGCTCTTGAACATATTCATTGACTGCCACACCAAAAAAATAAAATGGATGGGGAACATCTGTGAACATCAGGAAATGTTCCTGAAACCATCTTACTGGGTCCTTCATGTCCTGCAGGTTTTCCTCCAGGATTCTCTTCTAATCACTTAACCAACTTCTCTTCTCGACCCATGGCATATTTGGCTTTCTGCACATTCTGATTTAATTTAACCTTTCTTCCACATTTGCTGTCTCCTCTGTGTCACCTGGACATAACTGAGTTACCCTGATTTCCTTCCTGCTTTTCTGATTAATGTCCAGCCAGACAGTCTAAGTGGACGTCTGTGTCTTCATAGGTCTGCAGTGTTCAATCCTCTTTTTTCATGTTCAGATGACAGATTTAAGTGAATTGTGGAAGATGTTCAGATTGTAAGATTATTAGGATCCAACCGTAATTTAAACTGATTCAGATTTCCCTCCTTGGCCTGCCTGCTATTCATGATGCTGGTTGTTCGCTGATGTTCTCTATCAAACCTCTGAAGCCAGATTTATTTATTATTAGGTGTTTAACAAGGCGGGAAAATGTATTATTTTCAAGTTTTTATTTGTAAAATTAATCAAAACCACATAATTTTCCTTCTGTTTCTCAGTTTAGCTCTACATTGCATTGATCTGATTAACTTTCATACCTAATGTGGCCGAATGCCATATCAGCTATAGGTACTTGTGCCTTCAGTTGTTTCACTAATTACCCAGTCGGTCTGGTTAGAGCATGATGCAAATGAGCCTGCATACAGATTTTAAGACAATGCAGTTTTATTTTGGTCTTGAGGCGGAGTCACATTTTAACAGGTGGAAAATTAATACGAAGCCTTTAACAGGCTCTCAGGGTTCTTCTCTCTTCTCTTGGAACATTAATTGGTTCAGTCAGCCGACAGGTCCTGCAGAAAACAGACGGTGGTGATTTTGGTGGAACTCCTGCATATTTGTGAGCCGTTCACAGAGGCTGAGGACGGCGTGCCTGGTGTCCTCCTCCGTGTGCTCCCACCGTAAAAGCTGCCCATAATTAGTTGATTATCACAGCTTGCCGTCAGACGTCAGCTTACATAAACACACTTTAATGATATACATGGCCTCTTCATCTGCAAGGCTGCGTTTACTCCACTGAGCAGCTCGGTCTCTGTCTGTGGGACACACAAACATGAACCTGCCATGTCCGCCGTAACCAGAGGCAGCGGAACACTTAATCCCCTCCTGCACCTGCTTCCCCCTGTAGCGCAGACCTCACTGCACCTATCCGCCCTCGTGTGTTTGCTATACATATCGGTGCAGCTCGAGGGTCTTTGTGGCTATTTGCATATTTGCAGATTCTGTTTGTGTCTGTGTGTCATTAATCATACATTTGAGCTCAACAGGTGGCGGTTTGTGTGTTGAACAGATGGAGGTAGTAAAGCACAGGAGTGTTATGATCCTATATGCTGTAGAACAGACTGCAGGGATCAGGGTAAGGTTCACATTCACTGACACCTGAAATGTGATTTTGGCTCAGCTTTTACAAGATAAGCTAAATGCAGGATGGAAAGAAAAAAAAATGTACAGCTGGAAAATTCTTTGGAGGTTTTTTTTCAAGAAAAACAAGCTAAGCATTTTTGGCGCTAAAATGAATAATAAAATGGGCTTTAATGGTTGTAGAACAAGTAAAATCAAACATTAAAAAGTAAAATAATATCAGAATAAAAAAAAGTAACATTGGAGCATCAAAATGACTGAAGATGCGAACATAAAAAAAGAAAAACCTATCTGGATCGCACCTCAACACACTCTCCACGTCTCCATTTACACTTATTCTATCAGCTGCCTCTTTGTTCCGCAGAGGAGGGAAGAAATAACAGGAGGTGAGAGGGAAAAGGCAGAAGTGCTGTGTGCTGAGAAGGGAGGAGGGTCAGAAGGGATAAGGGCTGGGGGTATTTTTTCAAGTCTGGAAAAGGAAAGGAGCATGGAAAAAATATTTGCATGACTTGGGCTGGATTCTTGTCCCATTATGGAAAAAGTTCTATTAATCCGCCTTTTCGTCCGTTCATCGGCCTGTTGTTTTTTGGTTTTATATTTCAATTCTGTAGAACCAGGAACAAAATATCTAAAACACGTGTAGAGCTCTGAAAAAAAATAAAAAATGAGTCCAGAATTTTGACATAAATTTGTTCAAAATGTTCAGGAACCCTGAGAGGAGCAGAAGGATGGACGTTTCTCTGCCAGGAGTTGAACACAACCCCTGGAGTTTTAACCTTACACACGGCTTTACTTCATGCTGAGACGTGTCTCATGTGGAAGTTGACCACATACTCGGCATTGGTTCGTTGAACGGAGATGGCGAAGGGTTCAAAGGGGTGAAAAGTGAAAGCAACCAAGCGGCGCACGGCGTGATTAACGGGCCGACCCAGCAGGCCCGCCTGGATCTTAAACTTCAGCAGACCGGAATCTCTGGCGTAAAACCTGGAGGAGAAGCAGAAGATCTCCGTTAAACGTGGATCTGGGCAGGTTTCCATCTAGCGTGACTGAAAACAGCTTGTTCACAGCTCATTCTGCTGAATTGTATAGTTTTAAAATCAAACAGTGACTAGTAAAGCAAACACAAAATGGCAGCAGGAAGAGAAAAATTGTTGATTTTACTGAAATGAATGTGATTAGTTTTCAGTTTCTGTCTTTATCACATAGAACAAAGGTGAAGCTTTACAAGTTCTGCTCAGGAAACCAGAGCAAATATCCATGATGATCTCCAAGCGCGTACAAGAACAGTTGTGTGTATGGTCAGGGTCTGGAAGAGCGCTGGTAAGAAGGTAGAGTGGAGATGATCTTTTTCTACATTTTTTAAGAACATAAATCCATACGGTGACCTGTGAGGTCAGAGATTCCTAAACTGAGAAATTTTAGATATTTTAGCAACATTAGTTTGTTTCTCCAAAATCAACACAACTGCAGTATACTGATCGTCTTGAGCTCGAACAACGATGCCCGCCATGCAGGGGAGGGGTGTGATCAGTGTGTACACACTGCTGTAGCATTCCTCTTGGCTCTGATTGCTTGTTTCTGAGCTGAGTATTTTTATGAATGGCAGTAAAACCACTGGGAGGAACTACAGTTTTACTGATCATCTGTCTCATTTTCTTCTATCAAGACCTTTTTGAACAATGTATAAAATATAGGTTTCTACAAAAGTTACCTGCTGAATCTTTAGGTACAGAGAAGGATCAGTGATGCTTTGGGATTTTTCCTCCCTTAAACATCAAAGGATGTCTTCTGGGACTTTCTAATACATTGCATCGATAATCTTTTAAATTATCAGTGCTATAATATATTTTATAATTCTGATTTTTTTTTAAAAAGAAGAAGAAATTCATAAAAAAGTGTGCAAAAATCAACTTTCTTCCCACGTTTCCTAAATCTAAACCTGGAGTCTTATAGAAGCATGAGGGATGCGCACTGTTCCAGTAGTTTTATTAACCACAAAGGTTCCTTTACATGCGGTACTGATGATTTCATAAAGTAATTATTCCTTTGGATTTATTCAAATTTTAAGCCTGGCTTTTTTGAAAATGTAATTTTTTGGTAATGAAATAAACCATGAATTTATCTTTGCTTGTTGAAACTAAACCTCCTCTGAAATAAAGATCCTTATTTTTTCTGCATTTTTAAAAACCATAGATACATCAGTTACAGACATTTGACCAAATTCTCCATTTTATGTAAAGAGCTGTTAAAGTGTCTCGGGTTTCATCAGTGCTGCGGCGTTAATGACGCCGCTCTGCCTGATTGGAGAGCGTACCTGATGGGGTGGTCTCCGCAGGTCTTTGGCCTCTCCATCACTGACACCCACTTGTCGTCGTAGGAGAAGAGCGACAGGTCGAGGTAAGGGCTGCTGCTGTATGACTGGGCGCTGATGGGGAGCTGACCGAGCAGGCGCCGCACCGCTTCGGTGTGGCCGCCGTATTTGGCGTTCACGATAGTGTCTTTAAACCTGGGGAGGTCAGACAGGGAAGCATATCAGCACATTGTTTGTTTCTCTACTTTCTTTTGTTTTTGTGAGGAGCCAAATTTCTGATACTGATTGATTTGAATAAACTTAATAACATCAGTGCCTCGTCATAATACTTTGATTTTAACTTGGCTCATCTCTCTAGCCATTGATCCATAAAAAGATGATTCTTATTCTTTCAGCTCATCTCCAGCAGTCAGCAGGGACTCCATAATCTCCACTTCGTCGTTCATTCTTTTTATCTCAACCTCTATACTTTGGACTTTCAGTCCTCCAGTCTGAGTTCTGCTTCTGGACTGATATTTGCCCAAATCAGGCTTTGCTGCTGCTCTAAATCAGTCTTGCTTCCAGTATCTTCTTCATTCCAGTTCAATGCCCTGTTCCTCTAGCTCCTTAGCCCAGGTTTCATCTCTCTGCTTCACCTTAAATAGAGGATTTTGTCACCAGCACAAGTGAAATTTAATCACAGCTCCCTGTAGCCACATCTTAATGTCCAGTTTATAGCCTATAACACCTTCCTCCCTCTGCTTTTACTCCTCCAGGCTGATCTGTAGCATCTTTATCCCCTCATGATGCCTACCTGTGTGACATCATGTCCGTTCTTATCTCTCAATTAAAACCAGAGCCTTTCGTCACACAAAGTTTCTGCTCCGAGATTGGATACCTTCTTTGGACCTGGCGTGCGTAGTTGTTGGACGAAGCAGAACAGGGAAATTGGACAGCCTGGCTGTGCAGGGTGGCGTTCCTGAAAAGGTCACAGAAGTTCTCGAAGAGCTCAAGCAGCGGGTCAGAGGTGTTCTCAAAGACAGCCAGAACCTCGGTGGACACCATGTTGTACACAACGAAAAACGACGGCTGGCAGAGAGAGACAGAGACAATTATTTGTGGGATTTAAATTGTATATGTGGACAATAAAATACATAAATGTGCACAAAAAACTAATCCATCTACCCATCTAAACCAAAAAAAACAATGGTTAAAGGTGAGAAAAATAGAGGTTTGGAAAATGTGTTGCCCTTTGTTTATAAGAATTAATTAGGACATCAATGTGTGACTAAAACAACGTTAAATCTCTACATGCAACAAACTTATTTGCTCAGACCTCAGCAACATCAATGAAATAAACCAAGGATTAATTAAGTCCCTTTATTTCTGTGACAACCGAATCACAAGTCAGAGCAGAATCTGTTTGACAATCGTGTCCTTGGAAACCTGGAAAGGGAATTCTTGCCATCCAAGGAAACCAGGGCAGCACAACAAAGAGGTTAGGAGGAGGAATTTACACCGAGAGAGGCCAGAGATCCGTTCACGTGTGTGTGTTTGGTTCATACCTGCGACGGGTCGGTGACTCTCAGCGTGACCACGTCTTCACTCGTGTATTTAATGAAGAGGTGATGCTCGTCCAGCAGCTGCATCTTCCACATCCTCAGACGTCTGAGTTGATCGAAAAACTGGAAAAACCTAACCGGAAAATTTTGTTTAAAACTTAACGGTCTTCAGCCACATCAGGTGAAACCAGGATGAGTAATGGGATCTTTGAGCTTGTTCAGATGACATCACCAAACAGGCACTAAATATTTTAGAATGGGAAGCGTAATTATCACTATTATCAATCTCTTGCTAATAACGAATAGATTTAATAAGGACAATATTGTTAACAGCAACATGACCCGTTAGCATCAGCAGCTTTTTAATTCTAACAAGCAAGGAGGTTCAGTCCTGGTGGACTTGTGGAGTTTACCTCCTCTTGGCCGTGGCGCTGCCGTCCTGCTCGGCTCTCCTCCACAGGTAGACCAGCAACCTGTGCTTGAGGGAGTTAATGGTTTTGTCGGTGTAGAGGCGAGGGACCCCGGTCTGACTCTCTGCCTGAGCTTCCGTATAAACGGCCGAGAGCGTCAGGAGGTCGTCCTCGTAGCAGAAGCGGCCGATCGTTCTCACGTCCAGAAAGGTCCCTTCAGGTGTGACCTAAGGTTGCAGCGGTAGAAGAGCAACAAAAGGAAGCAGGTCAAGGAACTAAAACGACTTCAAACTTTATCTAAAGAATAGAACATAAAAAAACAGAGATAGAAAACTCAATGGAAAGTGTCTCAGTGAATCCCTGTGGTCTGTTTGAGCCACTTATGTTTAAGTCCGGTTATATTCAGAATTCAAATTTCTGAAAGTACTTTAAATTTGAAACTATTACCGGTACATACTGTTCAATAAATGATAAGTGTTTTTAATTAAGAGTAATTTAATTTGACTGTGCTTTACCGCTTTACCACTACTGCCACCTACCGGTGTGTGATGTCACGGTGCGGTATCGGCTGTTGAGCCTTCTTCCAAATGTTGGCTACTAGGGATGGGCGATATGGGCTAAAAAATTTATCACGATAATTTCTAGGTTTTACCACGATAACGATAAGTGACGATAAAAAACAAAACAAAAACACAATATCGGCCTAATGTATGAAACCAATCAAACAAGCCTGAAATATGAGAACTAATTTCACATTTATTTAAATGCTACACAGCAAATATAACTTGGCTTATAAAAGTTGCAAAGTAGTGCAACTGTAAATACAACCTGATAAATTGAGAAACAGAACTTAAAAGTATTTTACTGAAAACTAAAACTAATCAGTAATCACCTCCTAATATAAATAGATGTGTAAATTACCAGTTGCTGGAACATGCCATATATTGGATAAATAAATACCAGTGCAAGTTCTAACATACTTTAGACTCACTTCACTAAAAATAAAATTCAAATGTTATATCAACCTGTAACAACATTTTTTGCTGTTGGGCTACAAAAATGTGCAAATGGCATGATAAATAAAGGGAAAAAAAAAACGAAAAATCTAAATACTAAAATAGAAATAAATAATTTCAATAAATTCCAACAAACATGTAAAACCTGAAATACTTCTTTGTGCAAGAATGTACAAATAAGACTAGCAGGATCGTCAGCATGCTAAACAATGAAATAAAAATAAATAATATCAAAAAATTTAAAAAGAATATAAAAACTGAAATACCTCTCTGTGCAACCCTCCTTCTCCACAGATTGAAGCGGCAAAATATCTTTAGCCAGGCAAAACACAACGGCCTCTGTTAACTCTTTCCATCGCTTGCTTTGGCTGTCATATGGTGTGGAATAAGCAAACGCGTCGGCAAGTTTTATTTGAGTGGCAGTCGGTTTCTTAACAGAGGTTTTCGAAGTCGAGGCTTCTGCTGCATCGCAGCACATCTTCTGACTAGCATCATATTCCGGTTTGTGTTTTAGGTGGTGAAATAAATTGGTAGTGTTGCTGTCCTTTCTCGTCACAGGTTGTCTGCCAACTTTGCATATTACGACTTTCTCCATATCAGACTTTTTAAATCCAAACCAGTTCCAGATAATGGAGCTGGAGCCTCTTTTAGGAACCAGGTCTTGGGGCACGTCTCCTCCACCTTCCGCCATGCTTGTTGTTTGCACATGGCTCGCACGTGAGTTGGGCTGCAGGTGTGTCACGCGCAGTATACGTCACAGGCGGGAGTTTATCATTTTTATCGCGAGATGACAAATTGTTACCATGAGGAATTTCTTTGACGATATATCGCACACGATAACATATCGCCCATCCCTATTGGCTACATATTACATGTTTTTTTTCTCTGGCCAGAAGTTCGATGGCAAATCCAAAATTTGCCAGTCCAACTAACAGGACTGCAGTAACCTGTCCGTGGAGGATCATGAATCGAAGAAGTGAAAACATTTTTTTTTTCCCTTTTACCCAATATATTACAACATCCAACTGCCATGCATGTTGGCATTGTCAGTTTAATTATAGCTCTCGCAAATTTCAATGGGGAAGTCCTCTCGAAATCTTAAAAAATTGTTGTTGATTGCAGACGTGTCTAGTAGTTCCCATTGATTTTGCTTGTAAAGCGGGAAGAATGGCGCTAGGCTTACTGCACCGTGACGTCACGAACGGAAGATGTTAGGAGTGAGGCGTTAGTATATTTGGGCATAAATGGGCATTTTCGGACTTAATGAAAAGAAAATTGTTTTTATTTTTTTACTGATTAACGCTGAATTATTACGCATTAAATCACCGCAAACATAGTTTTAGGTATAAATAATGATCCATTGATTATTCCTTGCTGACCAGACTTTTCCTTTAAAGCTCCATTTGGCTTTGAAGACATCCATCACTGTGAAGCTTTATTAACATTCCAGGCCAAATGTCATCCAAGACGTCTTGACTTTGACTAGGCCACTTCAACACGCTGATTCTTTCGTTTTCAGAAGTTGGTAGATTTACTGCTGTGCTACAGAGCTCAGTGGGAGGTTTAATATTTTGGATATTTTCTTAGAAGCAAACTCTGCTTTAAGCTTCTTCACAACTTCCACCCCAACAGATCTGCTCTGGTTCTCAGGTCTGATTTCAAAACCCCGAATACCCAAACATTGTACTTTAGAAAAGGTAGCACTACTTCATCATATTATTACCCAAGTAAAAATAAAAAGTAACTTTTCAACAATTACTCACATAAGAGTAAAAAGACATTTGATAAAAAGGTGAGTCAAGTACTGTGTAACTGATCTACTTAGTACCCATATTTATATAAAAGATTTAGTATTTTCTGAGTTATAAAATTTACAAAATCAATTGTTACAGTATGTAGAATAGGTTAAATTACAGAACACTGTTTACTGTATTATTTCACTTCATCTCCAAATGAGACGACAGACTCAGCAGATGGAAAATAACATTTAACCAATAAGCTTTAAGAACAAAAAAGAAGAAAATGTTTCTCTCAGTGGTGCTTGTTTTTTTTAAAACAAGCTTGTTTTTATTACAAGATATAGTGGAGGAATTTCCCTAATTTTTTTAAAGACCCGCCCTCTCCACTTAAAGAATGCACATGCACAACCCTGTAATCGCTCCCGAGAGAGAACGCCTATTACACGCGTGTGCTCTGTTTAAAAGTTGCTGTTTGCATCGCTCACATAATCTTACTTTCTAATATTTGCTATTTTTCCACTGCGGTGAAAAATGCAAACATTAATGACTGGCTGAAACACTAGCTCACAGCACATATACACCTGAAAGAGAGCATGTGCAGAAAAAGACGAGGGACGAGCACTTAGGACGGCCTTACGTAAACATATCACCAGAAAGATTGACAATCAGGAGGACCACTTACAGGTGCTGGTCATAAAATTAGAATATCATGAAAAAGTAGATTGATTTCAGTAATTCCATTTAAAAAGTGAAACTTGTATATTATATTCATACATTACATACAAACTCATATATTTCAGATGTTTATTTTGTTTAATTTTGATGATTACAAATGACAACAAATGAAAATCTCAAATTCATCATATCAGAAAATTAGAATATTACTGAAGACCAATAAAAACAAAGGATTTATAGAAATGTTGGCCAACTGAAAAGTATGAACATGAAAAGTATGAGCATGTACAGCACTCAGTATTTAGTTGGGCCTCCTTTGGCCTGTATTACTGCAGCAATGCGGCGTGGCATGGAGTCGATCAGTCTGTGGCACTGCTCAGGTGTTATGATAGCCCAGGTTGCTCTAATAGTGGCTTTTAGCTCTTCTGAATTGTTGGGTCTGGTGTATTGCATCTTCTTCTTCACAATACCCCATAGATTTTCTATGGGGTTAAGGTCAGGAGAGTTTGCTGGCCAATTAAGAACAGGGATACCATGGTCCTTCAACCAGGTACTGGTAGCTTTGGCACTGTGTGCAGGTGCCAAGTCCTGTTGGAAAATGAAATCTGCATCCCCAAAAAGTTGGTCAGCTGCAGGAAGCATGAAGTGCTCTAAAACTTCCTGGTATGTGGCTGCGTTGACCCTGGACCTCAGAAAACACAATGGACCAACACCAGCAGATGACATGGCACCCCAAACCATCACTGACTGTGGAAACTTTACACTGGACTTCAAGCAACGTGGATGAAGTGCCTCTCTTCTTTTCCTCCAGACTCTGGGACCTTGATTTCCAAAGGAAATGCAAAATTTACTTTCATCAGAGAACATGACTTTGGACCACTCACCAGCAGTCCAGTCCTGTTTCTCTTTAGCCCAGGCAAGACGCTTCTGACGCTGTCTGTGGTTCAAGAGTGGCTTGACACAAGGAATGCGACAGCAGAAACCCATGTCTTTCATACGTCTGTGTGTGGTGGTTCTTGAAGCACTCACTCCAGCTGCAGTCCACTCTTTGTGAATCTCCCCCACATTTTTGAATGGGTTTTGTTTCACAATCCTCTCCAGGGTGCGGTTATCTCTCTTGCTTGTACACTTTTTTCGACCACATCTTTTCCTTCCCTTCGCCTCTCTATTAATGTGCTTGGACACTGAGCTCTGTGAACAGCCAGCCTCTTTAGCGATGACCTTTTGTGTCTTGCCCTCCTTGTGCAAGGTGTCGATGGTCGTCTTTTGGACAACTGTCAAGTCAGCAGTCTTCCCCATGATTGTGTAGCCTATAGAACTAGACTGAAAGACCATTTAAAGGCTTTTGCAGGTGGTTTGAGTTAATTAGCTGATTAGAGTGTGGCACCAGGGGCCATCAATTTTGAACCTTTTCACAATATTCTAATTTTCTGATATGATGAATATGAGATTTTCATTTGTTGTCATTTGTAATCATCAAAATTAAACAAAATAAACATCTGAAATATATGAGTTTGTATGTAATGTATGAATATAATATACAAGTTTCACGTTTTAAATGGAATTACTGAAATCAATCTACTTTTTCATGATATTCTAATTTTATGACCAGCACCTGTATTTTGATGATACACCGCAAAAAATAACATCCTCCCCTATACCTTTACGTACAGTTACTCACAATGGATGGAAACACCAGAAATTTCACTCAAGTCAGAGTAAAAAAGACAATGAGAGAAAAATAGTCCTAAAAGTACACTTTTTCAAAATGTTACTCAAGTAAATGTAACTAAGTAAACGTTGTAACTAGTTACTACCCAACTCTGCCTGAGATTAGAGCACTCACAGGGTGGAACGTTAGTTTTTTCATTGGCTAACTTCAGAGGACAAATTAAATTCCTGCCACACTTTTCAGATTTTTGTTGGTTGTAATACACATTCTTGAACAAAAAAACATTAAAGGTGCAGGATGTAGTATGCTAAAAAAAAACTAAACAGTCAAAGTAGTGTAAAGTGTTATGTGAGGCAAAAACTTGTCCTAAATGAATCTGAAATATACGGTAAGCATTTTTGATATTCCTTAAAATAAGTCTTTTTGTTAAGTTTCAGTAGGTAACAGAACATTTTGCAAACAGAATAAGATGATTTACATTTGGAATAAGAAAAAAACAGCTCCATTAATCTATTTCATTATTTTAAATGGAAAAACATTCTTTCCTTTAGCAGATCATCTTATTTACCTGCTCTAATAAAGGACAAATGTGCTTACTTTTAAGACAAATTTGCTCACAATTAGGTGATTTTTTCACTGTGGATCAAAAGCAAACTATACAAGCTAAATATGAAGCACAGTTGCCTAAAAGATCTAAAATATGTTGTAGAAATAACTCTGGGAGGTCAAACCTGAAACACGTGGATGGTCTGCTGCTGGACTGATAACACAGCCAGGATGTTCCGGTAGAGGTAGAGTCCCTGGTTGTGAGACAGGATGATCTTGTCACACTTAAAGGACCTGGTGTCACAAAGCCTGCCGGTGTGGAGGTCGATGATGTGGAGAGAGTAGTCTTCCAGAGGAGACCTAGGGTTGGGGGTCACCGATTCGTTGTTGCGATAAACCTGGTGGAAGGAAGGGATAAATGGATAATCCGCACTGAGCTGTTTTTTTTTTACTTCGACTGGAGGTCCCTACCTCAAAGAAGTACGGCGGAGGATCATCGGGAACGTAAACGGCTGAGCCGACAATGACATATCTACAGTCGTCTGTGAAGAGGCTGCACTCCCGGTTGAGGTGTTCTCCGTTTGAGGCCACATTAGTGACGTGAAGCAAAGAGAAGAAGCGCTCAAACAGGCGGCCCCGGATGTTGAGGGAGCGCTGGTCATTGGCTGTTGAAAGAGTCTCTCCTTCTTGGCCTCTCAGCAGGTCCTGAGCTGCCTGACAGCCTTGGTATTCATATATCTGACAGAAAATTTAGACAGCAGAAAAGTTTCACTCCCAATGCATGGAATCAGCGTCAGCATGATTCAGGTGCAGGGCATCTCCTGTTACCTCTAGGGACGTCTGGTCGGAGGAGAAGGCGATGAAGTAGCGCCCATCCGGTGAGAACTTCCTGAGGAAGCAAGGCGGCTTCTCTACGTTCACCACAGTGAAGTTAGGGAACAGGTTCTGGTGAAAGCAGCGCACTCGGTACCAGTGAGATCCGGGTCGCCCCGAGCAAATTCTTCGCCGCTCCAGGCGATGGACCACGTTCTGATTCTGGATCCGTCTGGGCTTCAAAGTTGGAGTGTCCTCGTCCATCGCAGTGATCAGGGGAGCGTCCTAAACATGCTTCAGTCGCTTTGCTACATGTGGGAAGCATAAAACCAATGATTTCTCATCGTCTCAGCTGCTGTGGACAGATGAGAAGGAAGGAAAGCAAAGAAAAGAGATGAATAGGAAAGAAAGACATTTAAAACCTCAGATATATATATATATATGTATATATATGTAAACTTGCATAAAAAGACACAAGCCTTTTTTTATTTTCATCTCCAATCAAACCAGATGGCCATTTTAACTTTTTATGTTATGATTACTAAAATAATTTCAGATGAATTCTTTTGGTCAGAATCAAAAGTTTACATACACTAAGAACAATAAGTCTTTAAACCTTTTGGAAAAATCCTGATGGGGATTTAAAATCCAAAGGTTTAAGATTAACTGGAAACACACCTGAAACCCACTGAACATTTGATATAGGCTGATGATTTGGCGCGTCGATATTTTTCACAGACATTTTCATTTTTTTTTTCTTATATTAGTATGGGTTGATACAGGGATGCGTGGCCTGATTCATTAGTGCGTTATGTGTTATACCTGGTTCAGATGTCTTAAAATACAGGACGGTTTAACTTCGATAAAACTTACCGTTAGTGAATTAGTTTCCCGAACCTCTTTACCCGACTCCGTCTAAACGGAGGTATTCAGCTTCATTTCTCTTAGAAAACCCAAAGTAAGTGAAAATGTGAGAAGAATAAAATCCTATTTGAACAGATTTTGAGTAAATGTAGACCTCCTGCTATGTTTGTTGTTGAGGAAGCAGACAGGAAACGCAGAAGAAGTGGGCAGCGGACACAGCGCCACCGCCAGGGCTTCAGGCGGAAAGTGACATTACAGCCTCTTGTTGATATTGAGTTCAATTCATTAACTTCGAAGGAACAAATAATATAAGGCCGGTGTGCAATGCAATGCAATTGATTATCGAGCATAATAGCACTACCAAGGCTAGACTTTTATAATCTTTTTAAACAGCACATAGCTCATTGTTCTCCTGCATTTTACACCATATGTATTTTCCACTGCACTGAACTATTTCACATAAAGGCACTTTTGCAGCATTATTTTAAAGTGGTTTCTTTCTCTCCTATATTGTTTAATTCTGGTCACTGCTGCACTTTATATCGGTAATGTTTATCTTACTCCAACGGCAATATCAATACGCTGTTGTAAACTGTATGCAATGAAATATCATTTTGCATACACTCTGTGCAAAGAAAATTACAATAAAGTTTGTCTAAGTATAATAATAATAGTATTAATATTCATAGATGGTATTAATTATCATCAATCCACATAAAAAAACTAAATAAGAATGTTAATCTTACAACAAGATGAACAAATTTATTGCTGACTTGACTTAACAGGCCACCCCTTCTCTTCCAGATCTTTAAACCTCAGATATTTAATCTGGACATCTTGACTGTTGAGCTAAATTTCATTCCCAGGGATTCACACCTTCAAGTTCAACTTAGAAGCATCTGCAAGCTGCTGATACAACTCTTCCAAAACTCACGGGCCACACAGTAAGTTGTTGTTAGGTTACTATTGATGAAATTGAATGCCTGTACAATCAAGTCTGGAAGTAAAGCTTCAACAACACCTACCTAAAGTTTGCAGGAGAGAACAGAGAAAAAAGAGAACTTCTGTATTAATATCATTTGGACAAGTGAGACTATAAAATTACATGTTTGCCATTAACTAAAGGCAGAATCCAACAAGAAATACCAACATTGTCGGGGGAGCAGTGGCCTGGTTGTTAAATCAAGGAACTAGTGTTCCAAAAAGTCTGCAAGCTTCCTGGTTGAGTTCCTCAGACTGCCACTATGGGTCTCTGAGTGCTTGCCAGGTGGTACACACTGGCAGACCACTGCTACCAAAGAAATGGAGTGAATGCAGAGGACACATTTTAATAACATATATGCATTAATAAATAATGCATATATTTTTATCGTATCATTATTAATCCATCATGAAGGTCAAAGTGCAATGGCTGGGCGATGCCTTGCTAAAGCAGGATGTTGTCAGCTCACCATCATAGAAACCATTAATTTTGTCCCGTTTAAAAGTGGATTTTTCGGGGGTGAGATGTGGAACTATTTGTAAGAAAAAATAAAAAGCTGAAAGAATTCTATACCATGCAAAATAAAACTTAGAATCAGTCAAATCCACCAAATACATGCAGAGAATGAAAAAAAAAAAATCCTGGGTTCAGTTAAAGCTCACCTCTTCACTCATGAGATGTTACGAGGCGAATTTGAAAATCATAAACATCCATGAAGCCCTCAAACATTTAACAGCTAGAGTGAGGTGTGGAGAAAGCATTTGATGGTCGACAGCTTATCGCTGATGTGTTTCAGCTAAAGGGGGTATGACTTAATATAAGGAGAAAGGGTGTCTAAGATTTGCACCTGCTGGAAGACACATCTTTGTTTGGATTTTTTAACTGTTTAAATTCTGTTTTAGAAAGAAATAAAAACAATAAAAAAATATGCTATGAGGAATTAAAAGTGTTCTCTTAGCTGCAAATTACTTTATTTTCAAGGCAGCTGGCACATCTGGAGTGTACAGGTGCTGGTCATAAAATTAGAATATCATGAAAAAGTAGATTGATTTCAGTAATTCCATTTAAAAAGTGAAACTTGTATATTATATTCATACATTACATACAAACTCATATATTTCAGATGTTTATTTTGTTTAATTTTGATGATTACAAATGACAACAAATGAAAATCTCAAATTCATCATATCAGAAAATTAGAATATTGTGAAAAGGTTCAAAATTGATGGCCCCTGGTGCCACACTCTAATCAGCTAATTAACTCAAACCACCTGCAAAAGCCTTTAAATGGTCTTTCAGTCTAGTTCTATAGGCTACACAATCATGGGGAAGACTGCTGACTTGACAGTTGTCCAAAAGACGACCATCGACACCTTGCACAAGGAGGGCAAGACACAAAAGGTCATCGCTAAAGAGGCTGGCTGTTCACAGAGCTCAGTGTCCAAGCACATTAATAGAGAGGCGAAGGGAAGGAAAAGATGTGGTCGAAAAAAGTGTACAAGCAAGAGAGATAACCGCACCCTGGAGAGGATTGTGAAACAAAACCCATTCAAAAATGTGGGGGAGATTCACAAAGAGTGGACTGCAGCTGGAGTGAGTGCTTCAAGAACCACCACACACAGACGTATGAAAGACATGGGTTTCTGCTGTCGCATTCCTTGTGTCAAGCCACTCTTGAACCACAGACAGCGTCAGAAGCATCTTGCCTGGGCTAAAGAGAAACAGGACTGGACTGCTGGTGAGTGGTCCAAAGTCATGTTCTCTGATGAAAGTAAATTTTGCATTTCCTTTGGAAATCAAGGTCCCAGAGTCTGGAGGAAAAGAAGAGAGGCACTTCATCCACGTTGCTTGAAGTCCAGTGTAAAGTTTCCACAGTCAGTGATGGTTTGGGGTGCCATGTCATCTGCTGGTGTTGGTCCATTGTGTTTTCTGAGGTCCAGGGTCAACGCAGCCACATACCAGGAAGTTTTAGAGCACTTCATGCTTCCTGCAGCTGACCAACTTTTTGGAGATGCAGATTTCATTTTCCAACAGGACTTGGCACCTGCACACAGTGCCAAAGCTACCAGTACCTGGTTGAAGGACCATGGTATCCCTGTTCTTAATTGGCCAGCAAACTCTCCTGACCTTAACCCCATAGAAAATCTATGGGGTATTGTGAAGAAGAAGATGCAATACACCAGACCCAACAATTCAGAAGAGCTAAAAGCCACTATTAGAGCAACCTGGGCTATCATAACACCTGAGCAGTGCCACAGACTGATCGACTCCATGCCACGCCGCATTGCTGCAGTAATACAGGCCAAAGGAGGCCCAACTAAATACTGAGTGCTGTACATGCTCATACTTTTCATGTTCATACTTTTCAGTTGGCCAACATTTCTATAAATCCTTTGTTTTTATTGGTCTTCAGTAATATTCTAATTTTCTGATATGATGAATTTGAGATTTTCATTTGTTGTCATTTGTAATCATCAAAATTAAACAAAATAAACATCTGAAATATATGAGTTTGTATGTAATGTATGAATATAATATACAAGTTTCACTTTTTAAATGGAATTACTGAAATCAATCTACTTTTTCATGATATTCTAATTTTTCGACCAGCACCTGTATGTGTAAGTGTGTGGTGAGGGGTTGCTTAGCGGTGAGAAAGCAAGGTATACGCCTTCTGGAGACGCTGCAAGATCACTTCTTCCACCCTTCAGACTGTCAGTCTGGGTCCCTGAGTAAGACCTTTAATAACACAACTCTGCCTGGGCACTGCCAGGTGCTCCCTGTACCCTAAGAGTTAGATGCAGGGAACATTTTTTGTAATGTACAATTGCAGTGACAGATAGGTATTATTATTGATTATCAATTTCTAGAGGGCATAATAAAGAGGGAAAATTTGTTTTTAGAAAAGTGGTGAGGCAATGAGGCAATTTACTCTGAGGCATTGAAGAGCACAAGAGCAAAGCCCTTGATTTTACCAGTTTTTATCTGAAAAACAGACGCATTAAGGCAATCGAGACCCCAATGATTCTGTCCACCTCCTGCTCCATCTCACAGTCACTCGTTAATAGGACCCCATGATGCTAAAACGCTTCTGTTTGTAAAAAGCTTTTGCCAGACTTTGAGCATCTGATTCTCATCTTTACTTCACACTTATCTGTTTGCTTGGTTTTAATAAGCACAAGAGTCACATGACCTTGCAGCATGTCAATCCACCACTGAGAATTTTTGATATTTTAACTGAAAAGTACCTTCCAAAATAAATGTTACAGTAAATTTTAACATTTCCTATTTAACATTGATTAACTGAAACAGAAAAAAAAATACAATGAAAAGAAGAACTAATAAATCAACGGTCTACTGCAAGGATTAACCTAGTATGAGTGGATAATTGTAATGAGATCCAGTGTGAGGAAAAATCTCATTGTGGTCAAAAAATTTAGGGCAAATGTACACCTGCTGATCTCAATGAGGTGCCAATTTACTGATCAGTGGGTGGGTTAGCAGGTGAGGAGCAGGAGTGCCCCAGAAAACTTTCACTATGATTATAATTGCTTTGAGTAACATTTGCAGGAAAAGAAAGAAGGAAAAAAAAAATCAACAACACACCTTTGGCGACACTGTGGAGAGTGTATATGACAGCCTGGTTTGTTTAGCGAAATTTATTTAACTGATTTGTTTCTAACAACACGCAGCATATGTTAACCCGAGGAGACCTGCGTTTTGCTCCCCATAATGGCAGATAATTAAATTATGATTATCCTCCTTGTGTGAAGCATGTTCTCACAGATAGGGAACATCGCTGTAAAAAGATATATAAAAAAAAAAAAGAAGTACATCGTCTTGGACGGCCGCTAATGGTCCTAAGCGCAATTATCTCTGACCAAAGAGTCTCGATTAAATGTCGTAATTTTCCATAAAAGCACATGTATCGGGCATAAAAGGCTAGCTTGAAAAGAAAAATGAAGAAATGAGTGGAGAGAAGAATGTGAAATTATCCACTTTAAAATCTAATGGCATTTTCCTTTTCATCTACGGCTGATTAAACCTTCGCTTCAAGACGTGGATGTGCGTCTCCATGTAATGCTTGCATTCACACATGTACATAGAGGCTGCTTAAATATGTGCAGGTGTGTGTGTTCCACAGAGGAATCATTCAGGGTAAGGACTATGCACTATCCTCCGGTTGTTCTGCGGTTATTTTCCCTCCAATAAGCCTC